GAATTCAAAACAAATGAATATCCTTTGTGAATGTTGAATTGAGATATTTTGTGCCAAATGAGAGGTAAGTACCTTCCAAAAGGGTTTTAAAAACATTTCTTTTTAGTTGTAGTTGGACATAATACCTTAATTTATTTATTTTTATGTTGTGCAGAGGATCGAATCCAGTGCCTCACATGTGCTAGGCGAGCACAATACCGCTGAGCCACAACCCCAGTCCCCAAAAGAGGGTTTTTTATGTGACTTTAATGTTTCCCTTTCAACAGAAGAGTTACAGGAAACTATGACTCTCTTTTTCTCAGTGAAAACTTTATATGTCCTTTTTAAATAAGGACAAACAAAAATCTGGTTTTATTGTCACTATGTTCTGAAGTCAGGGGAAGATTTTAAATGTCATTATATGGTTAAAATAAAATGATTACAATATTTTAAACCATTTATCACAAAACATAAAAGTTTAATTAAACTTACAATTCAATTAGTCCACTCCAGTATCCTCCTAATGCCACAGTGAACACAGCAATTACAAAAATAACCCCTATAGTATAGTCAAAGTTAGGTGACAATGGAGAGTACATTTTTACTGTAATGTCACTTCCAAAAGTCTGAAAGGCAAAAATGACATTTAAAACACAGAAATTCTATTATGGAATATGGCAGCAATCTTCCACACGTCATTTTGGAATGGACACTGTACATCAGTCAAGAAGACTAGACAACATAATATATTTTCTAGCCAAAAATATGAGCATATACTTTGGTTTATAAATCTCAAAAGTGCAATGTTTCATATAATCATTTTGTTCAGGGATTTAAAATTAAGATACAAAAAAATGACACAAAGAGATTTTAATAGAACTCAAATAAACATTTTTTGTAAAGCCAGCCTTTGAGACACTTTGTGTCAAATGAGAGGCAAGTACTTCCCAAATAAAGACTTCATAGGCTTTTAAGCTTCTTGTTAGCAAATGCACCATAGATAATAATCAAAACTAAGTATCAGAGATTAAAGAGTTATACCATTTATAAATTTCAGCTACTTTATAATTACTAATGTACCTGTTTCATATCTTTAAAGTCTTTTTTACTTATAAAGGCAATCAGTATTTTCACATCATCAAATTCAGACCTGTTCCCTGAGGGAGGAAACTAAAAGAAAAATACATATTATGAAAACTTATTAACTACTAATATATTTACAGAATAAAAGTGATACAAACTATTCTATTAAGAGTAAACATTATATCTTTATTTAGCTATAAAACAAAGTTTGGGGAATTCTTTCTTAACATTATGAGTTCTCAAAATAGAATGAATCTTTTTAACGTGAATTTAAGCTAATATATACTATATATGATATCTGTGTATGGTCCATATTCACATACACATGCATATGTGTGTTTGTATATACACATTCCTAACACAGTCTTTTCTATTCTAAGAATAGAAAACTACAAAACTTTTCAAATAAATGCCTATCAGATCCCAAATGTTTACTGACAAAGAATCCTACCATCAGATTATTTATATCAGTCTCTAAACCACACACAAGAAAAGTTACTTAATTCCTATAAAATTTCATGTCATGAGCTCCAAAGAAGCCACAGTTTTAAAACTTACTAAGACACTGTTATTGGCAACCAACAATGCTTCAGCACCTCCTTTTTGTGCAATTCTGGCCTTTTCAAGTATATCGCAGGTTCCCCATTGTACCACAACTGCTTTGTTCTTTAGGCCACCAGGTGGAATATCAGAAAGGCTACACAGTGGTGTAGTAGTCAGATTCAGCAAACTAATGGAAGTCTGAAAATAAGAAATGTCTTTAACATGACAAATATCACATATTACCTACAGGCATTCAGTGATAAACACCAGTATCAATTTAATTCAGTGTTCTTTTAGGCACTGGGGTATAGCTTAGTGATGTAGATCATATTCTCAGTACGCATGAGGTCCTAAATTCCATCCTCAGCACTAAGAACAAAAAAGTGCTCTTTTTAATTAGAAATATTTTATGACAAACAATGAGGTTTGGAGGTATTTTAAAATTACACAACTTGCTTCTCTCATAGAGAGAAAAACACTTAGCAAAGGCAATAAAATAATAATTATTAATAATGACCCTGTATCTAAATTAGTTCACACGCTAAAACGTAATTATCACTCATTTTCACTTTTCAATAGTTTTATTTTTATAAATAAAAAGTAACTCTGATTTACTTACTGCATTTTCTAGGGTACTTGGAAGCACTGTCCACTGAGGGTTATATAGAATGCAGTAGTCCTTAGACGGTAAATGTGTGCCATTTCCAGATGCATGCAGGACTGCTTCCTGGGCAGCTGTCTAAGACACAAATAATAATTTTCACACTGGCAATAATTGGGCTTTTAATAAAGCTGTTTACATACAGGTTTCACCACATTTCTTTAAGAGGCTAAGTCTTCCAATGAATTTATTTCTTCTTGGTTTAGAGAATAAAAAGACAGGTTGGGAAAATGGAAACTATCCACATTTGCCCAGAACTCATTCTTTGAGGAAAACAGGTTATACCAATCATATTCCAGGGAGGATTCTTGCTATCAGGTAATAACTTCAATCCTGCCTCACAGCCTGAAACTTTCCTCTCCAATCTCCTCTGAGTTATCACTTAATTGTTCATGTTGTATAGAAGAAAAAAAAAAACTTTTTAGTTGTAGATGGACATAATATCTTTATTTTTTATTTATTTGTTTTTATGTGGTGCTGAAAATCGAACCCAGAACCTCATGCATGCAAGGCAAGCGTCCTATCACTGAGCCACCAACCCCAGCCCAGAAGAAAAAGTTTTAAATCCCTCAACCTATCTTACCTTCTGCATTCTACTACTAACTAGCCTTTAAAAAGTTACATTATTATAAGTACTCTTGAGAAGAGAACCAGCTCAAATTTGATGTAAATTATTTTTATTCAGGTCTTCAAAATTCTACAGCTCCCTATCCAAAAAGACCAATCCAAAGTTCAAAGTAAGGGAAAGAAAAGGCTAAAAGTGATTGAAAAGAATAACTATAGTACGTACGGATGAGGGACGAGAGAGATTATTATTATTTTTTTTTTAAAGAGAGAGTGAGAGAGAGAGGGGGACAGAGCGAGAGAATTTTAACATTTATTTATTTTTTCTTAGTTCTCGGCGGACACAACATCTTTGTTGGTATGTGGTGCTGCTGAGGATCGAACCCGGGCTGCACGCATGCTAGGCGAGCGCGCTACCGCTTGAGCCGCATCCCCAGCCCCGAGAGAGATTATGAAATGAAGAAATACCCTAAAATGTTTAGAATACCAGTCCACATCACCAATTCTTTCAAACTTGGATCAGTACAGGTTCTTCCTCTTTCCTTCTGTGAGTAAATGTTTCTCTAAAACAATAAGGAAGAAAAAAGAGTGCTTGACAAATAAAGATGATATATCAAGCCTCTGCCATTAATGCACAAATAGGTTGAATCATATGAAATTACTGATGTTTGACCATTTTTGACCTTGGGAATTTCAAACAAGTCAAACCATTTCAAACTATTCTTAATGAGTATAGAGATGTTCTAATCTATGCTCTCCTACCTGAAATGCTGCTTGAACATTTTCGATTAGAG